AATATTGATGAAGGTTAAGAATTTTGCGTTTTATTTAAAATTTCCCGAAAACTTTTCGGTCACAATGTATATGATTTTTTTCTGTTTTTGAAATAAAGTTCGAATATTTCGTGTTCAATTTGGCACAGGATGTTTAACTTAAAATCACAGCATATTTATTTTATTAAACATGTGGGTATTGAAATGGAAATAAGGTAAATATGTATGTAAACACATATACACTGGTTAAATATTTTTTATTGTATTATTTGAATAAATGTTGGACTAAAATATTTGGAATTTTTTCCTTTTGAAGGCGCAAATATGTTTCACAAATCGAACTTAAATGGTAAACATTTTATACATTTTTGATTATAAGCAAACATGTATTCTATAAGAACTCAACATTTGTTTTATGCAATATAAAACGAGAACACAATTTTACAGATACTTAACGTTTTTACGGGGAAATCGCAAAAAAAACAGTGAAAAAAAACAAATAAGTTGAATGTTTACTTTGAAAAATCAAATAAAAATTCCGCAAGCTTCAAAGCTTCAAATAAAATACTAAGAGTTCAGCATTTGTGGCATGACATTTAAACCCTCTTTATCCTTTAATAGGTTTCGGTATGGAAGTGTTAACCTTCGCAAATGCCGCAAATACTTTAAAGAAGGTGCCATGATGATTGCAAAGAAAAATGTAATAAAAAGCGAGTATCAGACAAATAAAAATTTCACCTTTAAATTTCACAGGATTTGTCTAGGCGGCGCCTTCACTGGTTTATGTATTTTTCATGTTTACAAGGGTTGTGCGAAAATTCAAAGTCGAGAGCTTGTGTTTGACAGGCAATTAAAACAGATCCTTTGCGGGCGAAAACATGCGTTCCCCTGTTTTCAAATTTTACACATGTTAAATTTAAAAAAAATATGTTTACAAAACCATTAAGTTTATTGGGTATTTGTGATTTATAAGATTTGATGTTATTAAAAAAATTTTTTATTTCACTTCTAATGTGTTTTATTTAATCTGTCAATACATCAAACCATTTAAAAATCATTACAAAAGGATAATTTTTTTTTCTTATAAGTACTTATATTATAATTTAATATAATATAATAAGAGTGAAATTATAATAACACAACTTCAAAAAATCAGTTTTAATTAATGTGTTTCTGAACAATTAGGGTTATTCATGAGAAATATATAATAAAGTACCCCTGAAAACTTTTTTTTTATATTAAACTATTAAAAAAAGTTAAATGTATTCGTTTTATTTTTATAAGTTTCAATTAAAATTAAAATTTTAATAAAACTTGTACAAAAAAAAACTATTTCAGTAGAACTGAGTAGATTCATTTGAAATTATCTATTTGAGATAAAAAACTTTTTAAGTTAAATAATTCTTGTGGCGAAAGTTTTGGTAATGCAGTTTTAAATATTTTACAGTGAAGTTCTAATGTTTGCAAAAATAAAATAAAGTTCTAAAATCTAGCTAATATCTAATTAAGTTTAACTTCTGAGAAAACTTGGGTAGGAAACTATAAATATTTTCCGTTCTATTTACAGTAGTTGATTGAAAGCGGATGATGGGCATAATAATAACTGCTGATGATTTTATAAAACATTCTATATTTGGTTATCAGTATCTAGTCTGCAACATATCTCTGTTCTCAAATCATCAATATGAATAAACATTATTTTATTGTTTAAGTCAAGAGTTGATTGGGAAACAAAATTTGTCAAATTTAATCCTAATCTTCATATATAAATATCAATATATATCAATTGATATATAAATATCAAATAAATATATAAATATTCGATATCCTTGGTGATAAGTATATACACCTATACTACAATATCCTCAATGATTGAGCAACCTATTAAACTTAATAAGTTCAATATTGCTATATTGCAGATTTGGCAACATGTGAACTCCTTTAATGGATTTAATAATCCGAAGCACACAGACTTGCACAATCAAGAGGATATTTAAAGAACTATATCAATATAAATATATAGATATTTTTATATTTATGTATAAATATAATAAAATTAAAAAATGTTTAATTTTTAGTAGTTAACAGATTTTGTTCAAAACATATGAAATGTAAATAATATGGTATAAAGTCAGTAAAATAATTTATGTCCCAAAGATTGTGTGATTTTCGTTATGACAATTATTTTTGAATAATAGTTGCATTCATATATTCATTATAGAACGGAACATCTCTACTTCAGAAATTTGTGATAGTACATACTTTAGAGAAGGCTTCATTTATAAGAATCCAATAAAACTATGTGTGATTAGTATTATTATTATTATCCTTTATTATTTTTAACTCTTATATCATTAAATGTTGTCGTTTTTGGGAACTTGCTCCAAAAATATTGACGTATATACTAACTGAAAAAGAAGGGTCTGTCCGAAGAGATAGATAGTCTAGAAGCAGACGAGACACTGGGTCGAAAATTACTCTACCCTTCTGACATTAGGAGGTCCACAACGGCTGACATTCATTCGAAAGACGAAATGAGCTAGGACTTTAAAAATAAAATTGAGCTGTTCTTTTTCTGAACTATAATAAGAGTCGTCAGTTACTACAAACAGTGACTATATTTTAAAATTTTTATAATTATTAATTTGTGTATGTTAACCAAAAAAACAATATACAACTAAAAGCAAATATTAATTTATGTTTAAAAATGGTTGAACGTACGAACTGCTTAAAAATGTATACTGGAAGTCATCAGAAGAGTCAAACGAGAGAAAATAACGCGCTATCAGAAGACCTAACAGGTTTCGATTCAAATCGAATTTTAGTAAATTCGTTGCAAAAGGTCAGACCATAAGTGCAGAGTAGAATACCAGAGTTGGTTTTTTGTTGTGCTGTTTAATCATTAAGTTGCATTTCAAGTAGAATACCTTGACTCTATTATATGTATGAACTTGATATTTGTGTCCATTGAAAATATGGTAAATAGATTTTAAAATATTACTGTGTGAATATCCGTATTGCTGCCAGAAGTAGAGGTGGCTATTATTAGCGAAGACAAAAGCTATGTTGCAGGGCATAAGTATATAGATAAAGTAAGGATATATCGAGGAGTCTATGTAAATCTATTGACCTGATGAACCAAGGCACTCTCCCGAGTCGCTACTATTTAAAAGCGGTCAGAAGTGCTAATAGAACATTAGTGTTCGATTCATGATAAATCTAATGAAATGAAACATATTGTCATTACTTAATAATTTAATAATAAGACCATATAAAATTTAAGTAAAATATGTCAGAAAAATATATTTTTGCAATTTTGCAGAAAATGTTATACAATAGTAGTTATTGAACCTTAAAATTATTCTATTCAAATAGAAGTGAAAAATAGAAAATATTAAATAATTTCATATTCAAAGATAGACTCAATCTGATTAATCAATTCAATATAAATTTATTTGTCTTGCAATTCTTTTTAAAGTTTTACTTAAATTTATTACTTTAAAAATAAAAATAGTTTTGTAATTTTTCAAAATTAAATGTAACTTAAACCCGCAACGACAGAATCGAAAGAAAAAAGACACACAAAAGCCCACTTGAAACTTTTACTTTTTGTTCCCACTGTGAAGGAACTTATCAAGTAACCACTTCAGAGGTCCTTTTTGTTGCATTTGCCATCCTTAAATGTGTAACCTGTTGATTGTTGATACTCAAATAAGAATCTTGTAACTTGTAGCGCAAACAACTATGCTTTTTTCCACCTCCTCGTCCTTCGCCACCTTCTGACACATTTTTTCATTGTGTTTTCCTTCGTTTTTTATATTTTGTGACTCACATTTTTATGGCTGGGCCTTACGCTAAGTAAACTTAGACAAGAAATTTTCTATTAAAAGTCATAATGAACAGAATGTGAAGTTGAGAAATGAAGAGAAACTTTCACATAAAAACTTAATCAATTATTTTTTTTATTATAGCTTTTTCTTAATTTCTAAATGCTACTAATTAATTCTTCAAGTAGTTATACAGTTGCTCATTTGGTAATTTATTTCTTATCTTTTTAGCTGAAAACATACACTTGGATGACTTGTACACGCGATATCGTCAACGCCTTCGCAAATCCCTTTTTAGATCGGGTTTACTGATATCACTAGTGGCATGTGTTGTATCCATTATAATTGGCATCATCTATCAGCAAGTAAGTACTGGCCAACATACTGCCGAGCACACCTATTTTGTGTTCTGGAATCGATACTTTTGTTGACTTTTGCGAAAAGGCATTTCACTATTGTGACTTTTATCTTGCCTTATAAACTTAAACGATTAATCTTTTTTTCTTATTTTTTTCTCTTTTTTATCTTTTTACATTTTCTGTATGCTGACAATTTTAGCAATGGTTGCAAACTATTTTGTTGGCATTGGCAGCGCTTATATCTGCAAGCATCCTTACTGCTCTCCAATTTCCAGCTGTGCTCAGTTCTCCTGCGGCTGCTTTAGCCTTTGCCATTGTGACCACTTTCTCCTTGGGTACGATAGCAGCAATTACAGGTGAAGAATTGGCGCCATTACCGTTATT